CAGACCATGCCGAGAGGGAAGAATTGGCCCACAGTTCCCAAGGGAGCATCCTTTGCTGAAGGAAAACCTAGAACCCGGGTCTCCCTGGTGCCAGTCCAACTCTTTCACCACTAGACCAGGTTGAGAAGGAAGAACTGGCCTACTGTTCCCAAGGGAGCATCCATGGCTGAAGGGAAGCCTAGAATCTGGATCTCCCTGATATGAGCCCAATATTCTCACCACTAGAACATTATGGGAAAAACTGGCCAACTGTTCCCAAGGGAGCATCCATGGCTGAAGGGGAACCTAGAACCTCATTCTCCCTGGTGCCAGCCCAACTCTTTCACCACTAGACCAGGTTGAGAAAGAACTGGCGCACAGTCACCAAACAAGCTCTCATTGTTGAAGGGAAACCTGGAACCTGGGTCTCCCTGGTGCCAATCCAACTCTTTCACCACTAGACCAGGTTGAGAAGGAAGAACTGGCACACAGTCCCCAAATGAGCTCTCATTGCTGAAGGGAAACCTAGAACCTGGATCTCCCTGATATAAGCCCAATATTCTCACCACTAGATTGTTATGGGAAAAACTGGCCAACCGTTCCCAAGGGAGCATCCATGGCTGAAGGGGAACCTAGAACCTCATTCTCCCTGGTGCCAGCCCAACTCTTTCACCACTAGACCAGGTTGAGAAGGAAGAACTGGGTCACAGTCCTCCAAAGAGTTTCCGTGGCTGATGGGGAACCTAGAACCTGGATCTCCCTGATGTGAGTCCAACATTTTCACCGCTAGACCATTGTGGGAAGAGTTGGCCCACCGTTCCCAAGGCAGCATCTGTAGCTGAAGGGGAACTTAGAACTTGGATCTTCCAACTTCTACTCAAGCAGTATTACTCACCTTGGTTCTCCATAATCCTCATTCTTACAATATTATCGTATAGTGAGATATTAAAACCATGTCTGGACATGGCGAAATCCAATCAAGGTCAGTGATTTTGATCACCTAAGGGCAGGACAAGAAGCAATGGGTGGAAACTAATCAAGGAGAGAAGCAACGTAGAACTAAGGAGAAATTTCCTGACAGAACAATTAATCAGTGGAACAACTTTCCTCCAGAGGTTGTGGATGCTGCAACGCTGGAAGTTTTTAAGAAGAGACTGGACAGCCACTTGTCTGAAGTGGTGTAGGGTTTCCTGCCTAGGCAGGGGGTTGGACTAGAAGACCTCCAAGGTCCCTTCCAACTCTGTTATTCTATTCTATTCTATTCTATTCTATTCTATTCTATTCTATTCTATTCTATTCTATTCTATTCTATTCTATTCTATTCTGGTTTATGCCTACACAAAATCAAGATTCATGTGAAGGAAGCCCCGCATTGGAAGTTAATTACAGGGCAAGCCTATAATTATAGATGTGAGTCAGAAAAAAACCTGACCCCTCACAAGCACAAGTTGGAAATAGCACGCGGATGGTTTCACTGAAACTTTTATTTCTTTTTGCTTTTTGTAAAGGAAATAAGTGCCTCAGATCATTTGTATCTCCAACACTTTTCTGGAGAAATTAGGGGAAGGAAAAGAAACAGAGTGCTCTGGCAACATATCTGAGCTTTTTTATTATTGTTTTGTGGAAATGATTCATTGTGTGTGGGTTTTTGTTTTTTTTTTGGTAAAAATTCTTGGTTTGCAAAATAAATAAGCTGTGCTATTGGAAAGACTCCCCTACAAGAGGATGATTCAACCCACCCACCCCCCTTTTCACCAACTCTGTTTGGAGAAGGTAGTTTTTTTAAAACCCTATATTCACCGGCTGTTTTCATTCATCTTCACCGGAGCTACTACTAAAAGAATAATTAAATGGCTAAAATTGGTCACAACCTTATTCTTGTGATGCCCTCTTTGGAAAGCAAACAGATCAGTGCCTATATCACATATCCCAAAGGTGCTTTTTTTTCCAGGAGGCAATTGGACTTTCTTGTTTTTCTTTTTGGAGCCATTTTGCTTCTCATCCAAGAAGCTTCTTCAGCTCTGACAGGATAATGGGGAGTGGAATCCTGTCAGAGCTGAAGAAGCTTCTTGGATGAGAAGCGAAACCTCTTCAGGAGAAAATACAAGAAAGCCCAGTTGCCTCCTGAAAAAAAAAAAGCATCTTTGGGACAACCATGACCAGGGTGACAGAGAAACTCTACAGACTTTGAAAGATGGTTTGCTTAACCACAGCTTGTTGTCTGAACCACATTTGCTTGGATTCTATCAATGCGCTAAGCGAGGGCTCTTCAAATTTGACAGCTTTAAGACTTGTGGACTTCAACTCCCAGAATTCCTCCTCCAGTCATGTTAGCTTAGGAATTCTGGGAGTCCACAAGTTTGAAGACCCTTGCACTAAGCCATTGTTTCTCAACCTTGTCCACTTTAAAACCTGTGGGACTTCAACTCCCAGAATTCCCCAGCCAGCTGGGAATTGGAAGTTCCCACTTCTTAAAGTTACCAAGGTTAAGAAACACTGCACTAAGCCACAGGTATCCCCCATCATCCCATTTGGAGGGGGGGCTAAATCTCCTCTGTAGCCCGGCAAATTGCATCATTGAATGTGATGGTTGGAATGGCCTGATTTCTAAGCCTGTCCATTGGGAGTGGGTTTATTTGAAATATAAGGTTTTTCATTTGAGATGAAATGCTTCCATCCTTAAAATTCCCCACCCCCAAATCTTCTGAAGAGCTGAACTGAAATTTTTAGCTCTGCTAGGAAAGTTAGCTGGGCTGAACTAGGGTATGTTCTAAAAAAAAAAAAAAAGGTCAAACAGTGACCACAACTATTTGTGTCTAAATGTCACCACACACGTCAAAGGGTGGAGCTTCAATCATAAGGTTTTTTTTAAATTTGTGTGCCTATGTTTTAATCTTTTTTAAGTTTGTGTGTTTTTGTTTTATTTTTTAAAAATTATTGATTGATTGCATTTCACCCTTCTTATGCTGATCTAGATCTGTAATAAAGACTTAACTTAGATCATGTTGTAGGCAAGAGCTGTGGTGGTGCAGTGGTTAGACTGCAGTACTGCAGGCTACTTCTGCTGCCTGTCGGCTGCTTACAATTTGGCAGTTCAAATCTCATCATCTCCTCCCCTGTAAGCCACACAACTAAGTTGCTCCCTTCTCCATTCCTTCCTGCATGCCCTAGGATGAAGAGGGGGTGGGCCTGGGTCTTCCTCTGAATTCCCTCTGCCTTGCTCTACCTCTCCCCTGCTCTGCCCAGCCAGACTGTGCCCTTCCCGAGTTTCTTCCACTGCCAACGGAGCCACACTCCCATTCCCTGTAAGCTGCTTGGCCTCCCCCTCCGAATCAGATTCTGACAGGGGCGTGACACCAACATCCTCCCCATCCTGGTTCAATGTCTGAGAAGGTCAAGGCAGCACATAGAGTTATCTGTGCCCAGTTTTTTTTTTTTTAAACAGAGGATCTAAATTATGTAGTCATGGCTGCCATCTTGACTTATTTCTGACTTCCTGTATCCAGAAAGAAATTTTGTCATACAAACCGACCTCACAGATATCCCATGGAGATATTACTTAGAACATTGCAAGACAGATACATAAACAGATAAATCAAGCTGGGTGGTCTTTTTCTTCTCCACCAACATCTGGTTGGACGGCAAACATCAGCCCTAGAACAAGGGAAGGAGGCAGAAAGTTTACATTTCACCTCAACCTGGAAGTTTTTTTTTTCCAATTTCTCCCCGCCTCGCAAAGTGGTTGCGAGGATAACGCCAGAGAGGGGAGCATTATTTGTACTCCAGTAAAGAAAAGATAGGGATCTGAAGGGAGTAAGTCAAAAAAGTGAAAATGGTGGCCACAAACATGTGATCAAAGCCCCTTCCTCATCTTTTTACAGACATTAATAGGGACAAGGGATCGGGAATTCCTGTGGGTTCCAATGAAACAGGATATTAGTGTAATAAATCCATAAAAGGTATTGCCCCAAGTGAAAATGTCACTATTCTTTTTTTAATCAATCTAACAAGGAAGCCAGGCAAATCCGTTTCAAGGAACAAGAGCTAACTCTTTCGTTTCCCAGCCATCCTATAATCCGTTAAATAAAACGGAATGATTCATATGAAAAAAAATCTGCACATTCATCCTTACCCTAACACGGGACAGGCAAAATCCAAAAGAGCCCCTAAGACATTTACGTAACAGTATTTCTCAGCAAACAAATAACAGCCGCCTGGAGCTTATAAAATTGTAATCGTAGCCTGGAAAGAAACATAAGAAGGCAACCTATGTCACAGATGAGTAATGCACGTTTTTTTTTCCCTTGCCCATAAAACCTAAAGGGAAAAAAAAAAAATCTGGAACAGCCCCTGTGGAGTGTTTTTTTTATCTCCAAGTGTTCAAACAGGATCTGGAGAAGGTAACAACAAAAAGGTAAGTGAGTTCACGGTGACGGCTGATTATTTCACAGGGAAATCCCAGGCCTTGAATTGCTCCAGAAGTCTCTGCTTCCTATACCGAGCAGATAGGCGGGAAAACCCGATGACTTGTCCTAAAGACAGAAAGTCGAACTGGAGCACACACACACACACACACACACACAAATCCCTAACTTCCTAGAGAAGCTGAGAGGATCTGGTTGCAGTTACTGGAAAAGTGATTTGGGATCCTAGTGTTTAGATTTGGGGAGAAGGATTACTTTGAAACTGGCTATAGTTGGGGAACGATTAGGATATTATTTATTTATTTATTATTTATTTATTTGATTTGTCAATCGCTTACAAAATAATAGGTATAAGTATATACATAGTTATGAATACACGAAATGGGTACATATAAGAAAAATAAAAGAAACAATAGGACAGGGACGGTAGGCACGATTGGTGCGCTTATGCACGCCCCCTACAGACCTCTTAGGAAAGGGGTGAGGTCAATAGTAGAAAGTCTAAGGTTAAAGTTTTGGGGGTTTGGGGAAGAAACCACAGAGTCAGGTTCAGTCTCAGGAGACTATGGTATCGTACTCCGAAAAGAGGTCCTAAAACAGCATCTAGTGTGGCTAAATTAGATATCTAATTTAGGACACTGAAAAACGGGGAGGGAGGGGATTGTCAGACAAAAGGGAGGAATTAGGCAATCCAGAAGGAGAAATCAAATGCTGTGAGGGTTTAGTTTTGTTTTGTTTTTCCTCAAAAGAGGAGGAAAGAAACACCAAATTCTTTTGGAATTATTTCCCCCTTTTGAGAAAGAAGAGTGGAAAGAATAGTGACAATCAAAAATAAAAACTGTGTAAACAATTGATCCTCTTTGTTCCCCTTGTTATTATAGTATTATTATTATTCAGATTTAAAGGATATACGAAACCCTAAGCTAACCTGATTATTTTTAAAAATTTGTATAGCAAACTTTGGACAAATCAACTATGCTACTGAGTTTATATGAACCATCACAGATTATCGAACAGAATTACAGAGTTGGAAGGGACCTCGGAGGTCTTCTAGTCCAACTTTCTGCTTAGGTAGGAGACTGTATACCAGTGGCGGCTAACCTTTTTGGGCTTCTGTGCCAGAAATTGTGCGTGCGCTTGCACACTCGCACTCGCGTGCTAGCACCCAGAATTCAATGCGTGCCCCCCACGGTCCCTACACATGTGCATGCAATCCCCACCCACACCAGCTGCCCCCTTATCTGCACTGCGCCTCACAGCTGATTTTCGGCCGGTTTGAGGCCTTTTTTGGCCTCCCAGAGGCTTGAGGAAGGCTTCTGCAAGCTTTGCAGGATGAAAACTAGCCCCGTTTCATCACTTCCGGTATTTTCGGAAAAACAGGAAGTGACGAAACCGGGCTAGTTTTCGGCCTGCAAAGCCTGCAGAAGCCTTCCTCGAGCCTCTGGGAGGCCAAAAAAGGCCTCAAACTTGCCAAAAATCAGCTGTGAGGCATGCGCATGCGCAGTGCGGTAAGTTTGCCTGCAGCTCACGTGCCGGCACAAATGGCTCTGCGTGCCACCTGTGGCACGCGTGCCATAGGTTTGCCATCACGGCTCTATACCATTCCAGACATGGTTGTCCAATCTCTTCTTAGAAACCTCCAGTGTTGGCGCACTCACAATTTCTGTAGACAGGTTGTTCCACTGAAATACATAGAGGTAATTCTTGATTTACAAACATTTATTTAGCAAGCATTCAGTGTTACAACAAGCTTTTGTCCTGCTGGAGCAGGGGGTTGGATTGGAAGGTCCCTTCAGGCCCTGTTCTGATTGAAGCGACCTCCTACATGTTCTCCTTTTTGATATTGAAGACTAATCTGTAAATCTCCGTATTTGATCAATGCCGATCCGATCCGTTGTGTGTGATGTGACGTATCTGTATTTGACATGACGATTCGTCAAGGCTCGGTACAGTACACCAAGACGCGATTATGAGATGCATGCGCTCCACACAGGAGAATTGTTTTGAGAGAGTGCGCCGTGTGCAAGAGTTCGCCACGCACAAGTGGCCTTGTTTATTTTTCTTCAATTTATTTGTGTCCTCCTTCTCCTTGTAAAAGAGTTGGTCACCTTAATGTCAAGGACCACCTGTACAGTAAATTAATTGTTTTCAGTGATCAAACAGTTATGTAATAATTGCAGAGGATCTGAATAAAATCTTGGTCTACTTTCTAGGTCTCTCCACTCAAGTAGCCCTCTGAGATCCATCATGTGGGCCAAGTTTTGGATGTGAACAAAATGGCCCTCTGTGAATTCTCCCGAACTTGAATACATTTTCATTTCATCCTTACTCTGTACTTTTTAAGGTAGGTTATTTCTCACTGTCTGAAACCGAAAGCATCTGATATAAATGCTTGGATGATTTCAGAGCACACTCCTAATGCTCGGTTTAATAATATGCTAAATACAAATTTTCTGTTTTGGAAAAAGGCAACATTTTCAACCAATCAGAGGATGCAGCAATGTGTGTTATTCTGACAAAGATTCTATGGTACCTTACAAAAATGCCTTGCATGGTTCTAATTATAACACAGGTAGTCCTTGACTTACAACAGTTCGTTTAATGACTGTTCAAAGTTTCAACAGCTCTGAAAGATGGACTTATGACCATTTTTCACATGACTTGCATCATCTCCATGGTCATGTGGCAACTGATTCATATTTACGATGGTGGCAATGTCCTGGGGTCACGTGATGATCACCTTTTGTGACCAGATTCACTTAACAACCATGTTGTTAACAACTGCAATGATTCACTTAACAACTGTGGCAAGAAAGGCAAAATTCACTTCACAACTTTTGTCTCACTTAGCAACATAAGTTTCATTTAACTTTTGTGTCACTTAGCAACATAAATGTTGGGCTCAATTATGGGCATAAATCAAGGACCTGTAGTGAATTCATTGACTAATGACTATTGATAAGTATAAAATATAAGATACATTAGATCGGGTTTTTTTTTCTTTTCCTTCTTTTTGGAACGTTTAATTTATCCTTTTAATATTTTTTTTAATTTTCTGATTTTTAAGACTAAAGGTGGTTTTCTGTATTTTATATGTTGATAAATTCATAAAATTTTGAAACTCAAAAACAATTAAAAATGGCTTTTGCAAAAATAAAGATTTAAAATTTTAAAATATACTAAATATAGGTCTGCATTGCTTTTTTTCTTAACTCTACAACAGAACAACACTGGTGAAGGAGAAAATTATAAAATTATGTGACTGGCTGGTTAGACATAAACCAATTAAATGACATAATAATTGTGATCCATGCTTATTGTAAATCTATTAATCATTGTCAAAAAAAAGTATTCCAATAAGAGTCACAATTTGCCATCAACACATGAGACAGAGGTTATCCCATTGATTGCAGAACTAGATCACAAACTGCCTTTCTTCCCTCTTACTTTACGAGAACTTGTAATCACAATTCTATTTATAACATTGGAGAAGGCTAATCTGGATTTTTTGTTTAAGGGCTATCCTTACTTTGTAGCCTTGACCTATTGACCTATTGCTGATAATATGAACACTGTGATCTTGTGCACCAAATTCCCTGTGTGTCCAATCATACTTGACCAATAAAGAATTCTATTCTATTCTATTCTACTCTACTCTATTCTACTCTACTCTACTCTACTCTACTGAATAGAATAGAATAGAATAGAATAGAATAGAATAGAATAGAATAGAATAGAATAG